TGACAGCCTGGTCCAGAGCCGGGGCAGAACTATGATTCACTGCCCGCAGGGCCGTGTGGGCAGTGCACTGTGGCTCCGCCCCAGCTCCGGACTACGCTGTCACCGCTGCAAGATCCCAGCCCCAAAGCTGCTCCCTGCCCAGCCAGTGCTGCCGGGGCTGATCTCCATGGAAACCCTGGCCCTGCGAGGTCAGGGCCCGGCACAGCTGGGGTCTCCATGGAAACCAGCTGCAGCGACGTAGGCAGGGGCTGCTGGGAAATGGAGTCTGCCACAGGCCACACTTTGCCCACCCCTGCCGTAAGGGAACAGAGCATCGTGCATCCTGTAAGACTGCTGTTTGTTTTGGCTCTTGAATCAAAGAACTGTCCTTTCTCAATCTAAAGAAGGAAACATCATACCGACGTATAGCTGAATGGTATGTCAGGCATAAAAGATGCGGGGCACACAATAAACGATAAAGGTGAAGCCTACAGTGAAGTGCCCAATAGCTTCCTTCCAACATAAATGACCATGGAAAAGCGGAGGAGTGGGAACGGCGGAAAACATGCCTCTGTATTTGTACAGCTGGTCTACAGTTCTTGTCAGTCTATTAAAGCCAGGAAGTTTCCAACAAAATCTACTGCAAACTTCATCTCGAGCGCAGAGGTCTGGGAGGTCTGCTGCAGAATTTGACGTCCCCGGGTGTATGCGCCCCTGCTAGCTGCAGTCCTGGTTAAGGACTTCAGATACGTCACCTGGGCCAGACACATTTCTCGGCACGATATCTAGTCTTCATTCAGAATGCGTTTAGTTATTACCAGTGCTCGTTCATGCTGTATTTCCTCTTATTTAATGCGCTCTTCTGGAGTAGGTTTCACATATATATGATGGGTGGGGTTTTTCATTAAGTTCTTCCTTGCAAAACCTTTCTGTGATGTCTCCATATCATAGTGAGATTAGGCATCTGACAGGGCTTTGTAATATAGAGCAGACATGAATACAGAACAAAACATGGAGCATTAGGGTAAGAAGAGGCTTTCTGTCTTTTCTGAAGCATCTTTTTGTGAAAATTCTCCGCTTTTATGGTTTGAAATGGAGTGAAGCTAATCATCTGGTCTGAAAGAAATTTAGATGGATTAGTTAAGAGCCCACTGGGTTTTTTTTCCCATGGATGTTTAGTGTGGGAAATCAAACAAAGTGGTGCGCACAGTCTTATGCCAGTCAAAAATCCATATTAAATGCCCCCCAGTAACCAAAGTCAGAAGCATCAACCCAGAAATGACACCTGGGGAAGAACCAGCATATACCATTTAACTAGCTTTTAATGACCCAAAGCAGTACGTGAGTCTTGCCCTTGAAGCTTCTTGACTGTCCTGCATCATCTGCTAGACTCGGATGACTGGCTGCTGTTACAGCAGTGATTAGGATCGGGGAGTCCTCATTGCATTTGCCAGTGAGTCAGTTATCTGGCAGCTGGTCCTGGTTAACCACACATTTTCATAAGAGTCTGTGAAAATCTGACATGCTAGAAACTAAGGAGAATTGAGGCACACTTGGAAAAGAGCATACTTGGTACAAGCGAGTACACTTGCCCGTTCACTCCTGGTTTGGAGAGGAGTTCAGAAGAAGTTGTTCTACCATTTACCAGGTGGGGCTTCAGGTAACCAGTGTCACCGTCTTCCTATAGGTCCTTGGTAAGGAGAAACTAGAAGACAGGTCAGATTTGTGGTTGTGTAAATTAGAGTAGCACAGTCGCACCTGGTTTGCTGGAGCAAACTGAAATGATATGCCAGGCACAGGAATACAAGTGGTGGAAATGTGTGTGTGGGGGCCATGAAAGAAGACTCCAAATCCAGAAACTACAGCAAAGCTGTGATTGCCTATTATTTGTGTCCCCTTACCACCGAGAAACTCCAGCAGTGAACAAGATCCCTGTGAGGCTAAGTGCTGCATGGATATGGGATTAAAAAAAAAACAACCTGCTGTCCTTTCCTCAAATACCCAGCAGCCTAAATACAAGACCAGAGCCAACAGATGGGGAAAGCCCAAGGAAACAGATGAGAACCTCGAGAGTTTTATTGCATAGTTTTTTTTCCTGTTAGTCCAGCAAAGATTTATTACTCTGACTTTAAAAAAAAAAAAATGGTCTGAATTAATTACAGATTGGACTGCTCTGCACCTACTAAAATGTCACATAGCTTCAGCTGAATTGTCTGTTCTGTAATGCATTATTCTTGAGGGGTTTATGCTCATTTCGTGCCTTCAAATTTGGTCATTCACAATGGATCTCCTAACGTTTTACTCTGGTTTTGGAAAGCATAAAAGAAACAAATGGTATCATAATAAGCATACCAATGTAAGTGCATTGAGAGGTCCCCAAGCGCTCTAGAATAAATCTCCCATGCACTTAGGGGTAGCCGCAAGCTGCTGTGGCTTGGCCTTTCTGTAGGCATTTATAAAGTGCCAGTTGCTGTAGGAAAGCAAAGCAAGTCTCTAGGTCCATTAACCATGCAAACTCCAATTAAATTTCCAAGGCTTTATGTGGGAAAGGATGAATCTAAGAGAGATTATAATGATGCTGGTCCTGCTGCTGCTTCAGAGCTTTAACAAGGAGGAGCCTGCCAGTTTGGACTTACAAGGTCAAGATTTGCCATCGCCAGCTTCTGTTACATAAGGGGAAATCTATGCTCTCAGGAGTTGGATGTTGGTGTATTTTTTTCCGGGGGGAGCACAGAGAACAGAGCAGTTGGGAGGTGAGGGATCTCTTCTTCAAATCGTCCCTGCATAGAGAGGGTGGGACAGAAGCATCCCTTGTCTACCTGTCGCCTGCGAGGGAAGTAGCCGCATCGCTGCAGACCGCAGCCAGCTCTCTAATCAGCTCTTTAAATGTATTAAAGCTTTCCATTTTGGTTTCACGCCCAGTATATTTTGACAACTGCAGTTAGTCTTCAAAATTGTGGAGGCCCGTAGGGCATGTGGCAAGAATCTAAAATGCCTATTACGAAGGGTTTGGTTTTGTGGGGGGTTTTTTTGCAGTCAACTTTTTCATACCTTTCATTATGAGCTCCCAAAGCAATGTCATGTTTATCAAGTCATCAGACATCATACAGCTATTTTTTTTTTTTTTTTTTTACCAATAGTAATTAGCCCTTTTTAATTTCAGATTGCCTAATAAACATTTAATCATTGTCTAGTGTCTACTCCACCGAGGTAGGTAAGAATTCTTCATCTCACAGATGGGTAGGTTGCAAAGGGTAAAACTTTGCAGAAGTGTCTGAAGCCTGACTGTGAGTCAGTGGGAATTTCAACTCCTACATCACTCTTTTTTTCAAATGGCATTTTAGATTAATAACTCATTGGGGCAGACGTTACCAGCAGCTTCTGCCTGTGGTCCCGTACTGCTGGAAGAGGAGCTTCGACTAAAGGGCAGCACAGAGCCCCGAGGAGTCCGGTGATACGTGCTGTGTTTCAACTGCATGGCCATTTATTTGCAGGAAGGGAAGAGAGACTTTCTAGCTGAAATCACAGGGGGGACTGCAGTTAGGCAACGTGTAACCACTCAAATTGGAATTGAGTCAGAAGGAAATTTTACCACCGCCTGCTTTTGTCAAGCTTCAGGGAGGTTTTTGGCAAGTGGTGAGGATCTTTTTTTTGCAGTGTATGTGAGAGAAGCAACCTGGAAAAAAGCAAGGTAGGGGCACGCTGTCTTTCCCAGGCGTGATCCAAATGGGCAGCTGGGACTCTGGTGCTCACCCCCATCCCGGTTTGTGACTTGTGCAGAACGTCTGCCGGCGTGAAGACCCGTGGCACGAGCAAAGCGATGCCGAGCGGCCGCCGTTGTTCCACATTTGTGTTGTGTTGCATGTACTAATGGATGTTTCCTCTCTTTCTCCAGGTCTCTCTCTCAACTTGGGCATTTGCAAGCACTTGGAAGAAGGACGCTTGGATTTGAATATTTGGTCTCGGAAGGCATGCCAAGCTGATTGTGCTCTGTCTGGTGACAGCGTGGTGGGCGCAATGGCTCAGTCCAGGTCAAATGGATCTCACTATGCCCTGACTGCCATAGGGTTGGGAATGCTTGTCCTTGGGATCATAATGGCTGTCTGGAACCTGGTCCCAGGCTTTGGCCATGGTGATAAGTCTCCCTCTTCTTCTGGAAACAGCAGCAAGCCAGAATCGGATAGCGGAGGAGGAATGCTGAAGAGCAAGACATTTTCAGTGGCATATGTATTGGTTGGGGCTGGAGTGCTCCTTCTGTTGGTTTCCATTTGTCTGAACATCCGGGACAAAAAGAAGCAAAGACAAAACGAGGATCTTGGCAGGATCCAGCACCAGGCGTCTGCTGAACCTCAGCATCAGGAGGATAGGTAAGGGGCTAGGTCTAATGTACCGGTATCATTAAAAGGTGGGGGTGTGAGATGAACCTGTTTAGAAATGACTCTGTTAAGACCAATGGTAGCACATGCTAAAATAAAGGCATTTAAAGTTTCATGTTTCAGAACATAAACTTGATTGCCTTAGAAATCGGGAAGGAATTCCTCCTCCTAAATTCCACCATATAATCAGGTAAGTCAATGATAGCAGCACTTTCCTTTCTCAGAAGTGTAAACTGTTGGATGGTGCTGGCAAAGGTATAAGTGACTGGATGTATATATGGCTGCATCCTATTTACAAAAGTTTTACAAGACTCCTTGCTTTTCCTAGTAGGAAAATAGCATGTTAAGGCCTGCTTTTTAATAAGAGTTGGTAGCATCAGCGTGAAG